ATTTAATTTCACTGCTGCTTGTGTTATTTAATTTAATGTACTTCAGTAATATACTTATTATATAATTGATATTTATTTTAGATTTGAGCTCCATTATTTAAAAGATCATTACTTTTTTACAATATCATAATTATAGCTCTTGTTTCTATTTATGACTTCATTGTCTCTGTTTAATTCACACTATATTAGTGTATATCCTGTAAATTTTTACACTTTGCTACATTAGCATATATGTACATTACACTAGTATAGTGTCTTAACTTGTCTTTCATAACACTTGTGTGACATTCAAGTGTGATATCATATACTCTAATGTATAATTTTAGCATATCTAATTTGAATTGTTGTCCTGATTTTATAGTTATTCATAAGTACTGTGATCCTTGTTTAATTTTATATATGTTTTGTCGCAAGAATAGCACTACAGTGCTTATGTTATTATGTTACATGTATATGCGACGTTAAATAAAGCTTCTTGAATCTTGAAGTTCGTCCTTTAATGGCCTCGCGCTGTTCAAACTAAGGATACTGACCGGATTTTCTCTATACTATTACTAAATAAATAAATTAGAAGTAATACGAAATTCATTTGACAGTGGGTTTCTGGTGAGCCAAAGGCGGCAGGGACTAGGGGTAATTCATGTTTAATGCATTACGTAAGTGTTCGTATGTACCTTTGTTCTCCGTCTTAAATCCTGTAGCCCTTCCCATCTCACCCCGGGAGGCGGGCCAGGACGCGGAGGAGGGGCGGCAGGCCTGCTCAACTTGTGTGTATGGATATCAACAGTGGTGTTGTAGTCCGGCAAATCCGTATTCCCGGTCCTGACATTAGTTTCACTCTCACTTGCCCGACTTGATTTCCAGTTTTTAAATGTCACATTTGTTATACATCGACTCGGCAGCAGGATGTTTTGTCGAGAGATCGCCGTGATCATCATGATTTATCAACAAATAGTAGACACTCGCGTTATGACAAATATGTGTTTGCTCAAATGTGTTACACCTAACGGCTAGCTCGTCACTTTCTAATGTGTGTAAACATTCGGGTTTTAATCCGTACAAGGTCCCGATGAGGGACACAGTCTCCGATAGTGAAATGAATATGAAGAACAGCTAAAGCGTCTTATCTACTGAGCCAAGAAACGTACATCTGACACAGGTTGTCTTATTTCATAACTGTCAATCGATATCCGAGTTGGTAACACCGGGAGAAGAAAACATCAGCATGTGACGACCTTGGCCGACGAGCGGCGAGTATTTTGGCATGTGTGCATCACACTCCATGTAACCGTGTACGGCTGGAAACGGTCTTCCCTGATTAATGATTTCTCCGATAGACGCTGAGCTGGAAAGGTTCATCAAAGGAGGTATAGGTTGACATGAGTGTGATCAACTACAGTTATTCCATTTACGTATGATTTGTCCAGATAGTTTACATTCACTCTGCTTCTATACAATAACTTTAAATATATGCATTACACTTGTAAAATAAAAGTTGCTTCTTCGGTAGAGTATCAGACTCGTAAACCAGAGGTCCCGGATTGACTAATGTGGGAAACCCCTGCAGAATTGTGGATTTGCTTTTGTGCCGTCTACTTGGGGACACAAAATCAACCAACATTTGGGATCTATATCTTTCTTTCTACTTATATCTACCTATAATTTCCAAACGGCTTGCTTGGCAGTACCTCATATCTGGTTTGTCAATGTCAAATTGTTACCGTCCTTTTAAAATACAGAGGAGCGACACCCGACTTCAATTTACCAATACGCGACCGTGATATTAGTTTGATACACGTCAAAGGATCAAACTAGTCTTCTCGTTTTATCCACAAAGTAGCCACAATGAGCTTTCGATTTTGTTATGACATATTCCAGAGATGCCGAGATCTAAAAGATGCATTAGCGCCCACATCCGTTCTCTGCTTGGTGAAGATCAATTTCAGCCGCACACAGGTTATAAGGGGTGATCACAGTCTAAAGTGTTATATGTCACCGCACTTCATGGCCTGAGATAGCAGCGCGGCTATTATTAGTCTCGTTTAACCAAACCAGATTCTTGTTGCCTGCGCAAGCTACGCCGAATTGAGAGTCTGGTCAAACACAGTGCTTTCGTTTTGGGACATCATAACGAGGCTTGCCGAGATTCTGGTAAAAAAAATCATTGGTCAAAGGGTTGATACACCCTTTTTAACTTTTGAAGTCAGAATTTGAGTGGCCCAAAATTACATTAAATATTTTAATTCATTAAAAAATTACCTGTATATGCATTCCTGAAGTATCCATGTTTTCACTATTAACGAGAAAAATGTAAGAAAATGCTTCAAAAAGAATGATTTCGTGTATTTTCATTGGATATTTTACAATAATTCATGAAGCTAACATGGCTATTGATACAAGTCAAGCCAGATTACCTAAGTGAGAACTTGAAGGTGTTTTGAATGGTGTACAGGTAAAAACTCATTTGCTTTGCATGCTTTTTTCAAACTTAAGTCAGCTTTGTTGGCTTTGTGCTTAGTTATGATTTATTCAATGGAAATATATGGCATTATTCTGGAGATTTGACACATTTTCTTACATTGTTCAAGGTAGGGGCTGTCTCTATCACCATCAAGATAGCTCGTTAGGTAGAGGCTGTCCCTATCACCATCCAAATAGCCTGTTAGGTAGGGGCTGTCCCGATCACCATACAGCTAGCTTGTTAGGTAGAGGCTGTCCTGATCACCATTCAGATAGCTCGTTAGGTAGAGGTTGTCCCTATCACCATCCAGAGAGCTCGTTAGGTAGGGGCTGTCCCAATCACCATCCAGATAGCCTGTTAGGTAGGGGCTGTCCCTATCAACATCAAGATAGCTCGTTAGGTAGAGGCTGTCCCTATCACCATCCAGAGAGCTTGTTAGGTAGAGGCTGTGCCGATCACCATCCAGAGAGCCTGTTAGGTAGGGTCTGTCCCTATCAACATCAAGATAGCTCGTTAGGTAGAGGCTGTCCCTATCACCATCCAGAGAGCTCGTGAGGTAGCGGCTGTCCCTATCACCATCCAGATAGCTCGTTAGGTAGAGGCTGTGCCGATCACCATCCAGAGAGCTTGTTAGGTAGGGGCTGTCCTGATCACCATACAGATAGCCTGTGAGGTAGGGGCTGTCCCTATCACCATACAGATAGCCTGTTAGGTAGTGGCTGTCCTGATCACCATACAGATAGCCTGTTAGGTAGGGGCTTTCCCTATCACCATCCAGATAGCCTGTTAGGTAGGGGTGTCCCGATCACCATCCATGCAGCTCGTTAGGTAGGGGCTGTCCCGATCACCATCCAGTGAGCTCGTTAGGTAGGGGCTGTCCCAATCACCATCCAGCGAGCTCGTTAGGTAGGGGCTGTCCCGATCGACATCCAGAGAGCTTGTTGGATAGTGGATGTCCCGATCACCATCCAGGGAGCTCGTTAGGTAGGGGCTGTCCCGATCGACATCCAGAGAGCTTGTTGGATAGTGGATGTCCCGATCACCATCCAGGGAGCTCGTTAGGTAGGGGCTGTCCCAATCACCATCCAGAGAGCTCGTTAGGTAGGGGCTGTCCTAACCATCCAGAGAGAATGTTAGGTAGAGGCTGTCCTGATCACCATACAGATGACCTGTGAGGTAGGGGCTGTCCCTATCACCATACAGATAGCTCGTTAGGTAGAGGCTGTCCTGATCACCATACAGATAGCCTGTGAGGTAGGGGCTGTCCCTATCACCATACAGATAGCCTGTTAGGTAGTGGCTGTCCTGATCACCATACAGATAGCCTGTTAGGTAGGGGCTGTCTTGATCACCATCCAGAGAGAGTGTTAGGTAGAGGCTGTACTGCCAAATAGCCTGTTAGGTAGGGGCTGTTCCGATCACCATACAGCTAGCTTGTTAGGTAGAGGCTGTCCTGATCACCATCAAGATAGCTCATTAGGTAGGGACTGTCCCGATCACCATACAGCTAACTTGTAAGGTAGAGGCTGTCCTGATCACCATACAGATGACCTGTGAGGTAGGGGCTGTCCCTATCACCATACAGATAGCCTGTTAGGTAGGGTCTTTCTTGATCACCATCCAGAGAGAATGTTAGGTAGAGGCTGTCCTGATCACCATCAAGATAGCTCATTAGGTAGGGACTGTCCCGATCACCATACAGCTAACTTGTTAGGTAGAGGCTGTCCTGATCACCATCAAGATAGCTCGTTAGGTAGGGACTGTCCCGCTCACCATACAGCTAACTTGTAAGGTAGAGGCTGTCCTGATCACCATACAGATGACCTGTGAGGTAGGGGCTGTCCCTATCACCATACAGATAGCTCGTTAGGTAGAGGCTGTCCTGATCACCATCAAGATAGCTCATTAGGTAGGGACTGTCCCGATCACCATACAGCTAACTTGTAAGGTAGAGGCTGTCCTGATCCCCATACAGATAACCTGTGAGGTAGGGGCTGTCCCTATCACCATACAGATAGCTCGTTAGGTAGAGGCTGTCCTGATCACCATCAAGATAGCTCATTAGGTAGGGACTGTCCCGATCACCATACAGCTAACTTGTTAGGTAGAGGCTGTCCTGATCACCATACAGATAACCTGTGAGGTAGGGGCTGTCCCTATCACCATACAGATAGCCTGTTAGGTAGTGGCTGTCCTGATCACCATACAGATAGCCTGTGAGGTAGGGGCTGTCCCTATCACCATACAGATAGCTCGTTAGGTAGAGGCTGTCCTGATCACCATACAGATGACCTGTGAGGTAGGGGCTGTCCCTATCACCATACAGATAGCCTGTTAGGTAGGGGCTATCCCTATCACCATACAGATAGCCTGTTAGGTAGGGTCTGTCCCTATCAACATCATGATAGCTCGTTAGGTAGAGGCTGTCCCTATCACCTTCCAGAGAGCTCGTGAGGTAGCGGCTGTCCCTATCACCATCCAGATAGCTCGTTAGGTAGAGGCTGTCCTGATCACCATACAGATGACCTGTGAGGTAGGGGCTGTCCCTATCACCATACAGATAGCCTGTTAGGTAGGGTCTTTCTTGATCACCAGCCAGAGAGAATGTTAGGTAGAGGCTGTCCTGATCACCATACAGATGACCTGTGAGGTAGGGGCTGTCCCTATCACCATACAGATAGCTCGTTAGGTAGAGGCTGTCCTGATCACCATACAGATGACCTGTGAGGTAGGGGCTGTCCCTATCACCATACAGATAGCCTGTTAGGTAGTGGCTGTCCTGATCACCATACAGATAGCCTGTGAGGTAGGGGCTGTCCCTATCACCATACAGATAGCCTGTTAGGTAGGGTCTGTCCCTATCAACATCATGATAGCTCGTTAGGTAGAGGCTGTCCCTATCACCTTCCAGAGAGCTCGTGAGGTAGCGGCTGTCCCTATCACCATCCAGATAGCTCGTTAGGTAGAGGCTGTCCCTATCATCATCCAGATAGCTCGTGAGGTAGCGGCTGTCCCGATCATCATCCAGATAGCTCGTTAGGTAGGGGCTGTCCTGATCACCATCCAGAGAGCTTGGTGCTTAGTTATGATTTATTCAATGGAAATATATGGCATTATTCTGGAGATTTGACACATTTTCTTACATTGTTCAAGGTAGGGGCTGTCTCTATCACCATCAAGATAGCTCGTTAGGTAGGGACTGTCCCGATCACCATACAGCTAACTTGTTAGGTAGAGGCTGTCCTGATCACCATACAGATAGCCTGTGAGGTAGGGGCTGTCCCTATCACCATACAGATAGCCTGTTAGGTAGGGGCTGTCCTGATAACCATACAGATAGCCTGTTAGGTAGGGGCTGTCCTGATCACCATACAGATAGCCTGTTAGGTAGGGTCTTTCTTGATCACCATCCAGAGAGAATGTTAGGTAGAGGCTGTCCTGATCACCATCAAGATAGCTCGTTAGGTAGGGACTGTCCCGATCACCATACAGCTAACTTGTAAGGTAGAGGCTGTCCTGATCACCATACAGATAGCCTGTTAGCTAGGGGCTGTCCCGATCACCAGCCAGAGAGCTCGTTAGGTAGGCGCTGTCCCTATCACCATCCAGAGAGCCTGTTAGGTAGGGGCTATCCCTATCACCATCCAGATAGAGTGTTAGGTAGAGGCTGTCTTGATCACCATACAGAAAGCCTGTAAGGTAGGGGCTGTCCCTATCACTATACAGATAGCCTGTTAGGTAGAGGCTGTGCCGATCACCATCCAGAGAGTTTGTTAGGTAGAGGCTGTCCTTATCGCCATCCATGAGGTAGCGGCTGTCCCGATCAACATACAGAGAGTTTTTTAGGCAGGGTCTGTCCTGAGCACCATCCATATAGCCTGGTAGGTAGGGGCTGTCCCAATTGTCATCAAGATAGCTCGTTAGGGAGGGACTGTCCCGATCACCATCCAGCGAGCTCGTTAGGTAGGGGCTGTCCTGATCGCCATCCATATATCCTGTTAGGTAGGGGCTATCCCTATCACCATCCAGATAGCTCGTGAGGTAGCGGCTGTCCCGATCACCATACAGAGAGTTTGTTAGGTAGGGGCTGTCCTGATCACCATCCATATAGCCTGTTAGGTAGGGGCTATCCCTATCGCCATACAAAGAGCTTGTTAGATAGGGGCTGTCCCGATCACCATCCAGATAGCCTGTTAGGTAGGGGCTGTCCCGATCGCCATACAGAGAGCTTGTTTGGTAGGGGCTGTCCCGATCACTATCCAGATAGCCTGTTAGGTAGAGGCTGTCCTTATCGCCATCCAGAGAGCTTTTTAGGTAGCGGCTGTCCCGATCACCATCCAGATACACGTAGCTTTAGAGAGCTCGTTAGGTAGGGGCTATCCCGATCACTATCCAGGGAGCTCGTTAGGTAGGGGCTGTCCCGATCACCATTCAGAAAGCGTGTTAGGTAAGGGCTGTCCCGATCAACTTACATAGAGTGCGTTAGGTAGAGGCTGTCCTTATCGCCATCCAGAGAGCTCTTTAGGTAGCGACTGTCCCGATCACCATCCAGATACATGTAGCTTGATAGGAAGGGGCTGTCTGATCACTATCCAGAGAGCTCGTTAGGTAGGGGCTGTCCCGATCACTATCCATAAAGCATTTTAGGTAGGGGATGTCCCGATCGACATCCAGAGAGCTTGTTGGATAGTGGTTGTCCCGATCACCATCCAGGGAGCTCGTTAGGTAGGGGCTGTCCCGATCACCATCCTGGAAGCTTGTCAGGTAAGGGCTGCCCCGATCACCATCCAGAGATTGTGTTAGATAGCAGCTGTCCTGATCACCATTCAGAGAGCTCGTTAGATAGCGGCTGTCCCGATCACTATCCAGAGAGCTCGTTAGGTAGGGGCTGTCCTGATCACTATCCCGATAGCTTTTTAGGAAGGGGCTGTACCGATCGACATCCAGAGAGCTTGTTTGATAGTGGTTGTCCCGATCACCATCCAGGGAGCTCGTTAGGTAGGGGCTGTCCCGAGCACTATCCTGGGAGCTTGTCAGGTAAGGGCTGCCCCGATCACCATCCAGAGAGCTTGTTAGGTAGGGGCTGTCCTGATCACCATACAGATAGCCTGTTAGGTAGGGGCTGTCCCTATCACCATACAGATAGTCTGTTAGTTAGGGGCTGTCCTGATCACCATACAGATAGCCTGTTAGGTAGGGGGGTAGGGGCTGTCCCTATCACCATACAGATAGCCTGTTAGGTAGGGGCTGTCCTGATCACCATCCAGAGAGAGTGTTAGGTAGAGGCTGTACTGATCACCATCAAGATAGCTCATTAGGTAGGGACTGTCCCGATCCTCTTACAAAAGGGATAATTCAGCCTTGTATATCCGATCACCATACATCTAGCCTGTTAGGCAGAGGCTGTCCTGATCACCATACATCTAGCCTGTTAGGTAGGGGCTGTCCCGATCACCATACAGCTCGCCTGTTAGGTAGAGGCTGTCCTGATCACCATACAGAAAGCCTGTAAGGTAGGGGCTGTCCCTATCACCATCCAGATAGCCTGTTAGGTAGGGGCTGTCCCAATTGTCATCAAGATAGCTCGTTAGGTAGGGGCTTTCCCGATCACCATCCAGAGAGCTTGTAAGGTAGAGGCGTTCCCGATCACCATCCAGAGAGCTCGTTAGGTAGCGGCTGTCCCGATCACCATCCAGAGAGTTTGTTAGGTAGGGGCTGTCCTTGTCACCATCCATATAGCCTGTTAGGTAGGGGCTATCCCTATC